TTTAGGGCTTCTTTGCCCCCCGCACCCCCTCTCAGTGCTGCTTGGGGCTTGAAACCTTCAGGGAAGAAGAAAACAAGATTACCTTCCTCTCTGTTTACCCTGCTCACATACCTAAGTCCTACTAGCAGCTGGTCAGGATGATGGCCCAGGAAGAGGAGTTAAAGGAAGGAGGGCCATTATACAGAGCAGGCACGTATATGTGTGTATGAACGTCACTGGAACTCTGTGATTGATGGATGATTATAGCTGACTTTTTCTCTAGCAAAGTACTACGATGGGATTCTTGGGGATATTTCGCTGGGAAGTTTGAATTACAATCCTGCTGTAATGCATGTGATGCCTCTTTTCTCTCTGAACGTTTCTGACTCAGGCCCTTGTCCCCTGGACTTGCAGTGCAGTGGTCAGCCCTACCCAGGTGCCTGTGCTCTAGGCTGTCCTTGTGCGTGGAACCATTTTAAAACGGAAAGGTAGAAACTTTTTATTGACACAAGTATTGTCAGGGACATGCTAAAATTAAAAATATAGAACTTAATGAATTATAAGTCAGTAAATAAAACTATGTTACTACCATGACCAAGGTCACAAAATTTCAAAATTAAGAGCTTCCCAAAAACTCTCTTGCACCCCCCTGCCAATCGCTCCCCAAAAGTAACTACCATCTCAACTTCTAACATCATAAATGGTTTTGACTATTTTGGAACTTTATTTTAATGGAACCATACAGTATTTTTCTGTGTCTACTTATTTTACACAGGAGTTCATCCATGTTTTTGCATGGGTGAGACGTTTATTCTTATTCCTGTATAATAATGTATTTAATAAATAAAAGAGTTTGTTTATACATTATGTTATAGATGATTATTTGGGTGGCTTTCAGTTTGGGACTACTATGAATACTGCTTCTGTAAATATTCTTATACAAACCTTTATTTCTCTAAATTTCCATACCTGTCCTTATGCATGAGTTTTGCATTTGATCCTCCCAGAACCCTGGGAATGCCAGTGGCCCTAGAACAGTATACAGGGTCTGTCCAGAAGATATCCAGCCATGTAGTATAAAAAATAGAGACATTTACTAAAGAAGATAAAAGATACAAGAAACATTGTACATAGGGCAATGATGCCTCAGTCCCCTTCAAACTAGACACCTCGGGACCTCACATAGTTCTCCGGATCAACATCAACTGCCCCATCATATTGTCCTGAATCTCATCAATTATCTGAAATCTCTTCCTTTTCAAAGGTGATTTTAGTTTTGGGAAAAGCCTTAAGTCACAGGGCGCCAAATGTAGGCTGTAGGGGGGCTGCAGCAGTCACCTTGGTGATTTCATGTTTCACCAAAACACTCTGCATGAGACATGATGCATGAACAGGCGGATTGTCATGAAGCTGCCAATCAATCACCAGCTGCCTGTAGCTGTGGCCTTCTGAATCATCTGAATATTTTCAGTGGAGAAATGTTTAAGCTTAATGCAAAATTCAATGCAGATTTGTTGCTTTACTTGCTCAGTCATTTTGAATGTGATGGTTACACAGTACACGTGCTCACTCAATGATGTCTACCACCCCCACTAACTAGTACAGTGAAGTTGTCATCGTTCACACATATGCATTCTAGTCCACTCTCCTTGGCAGCCAGGTGAAAGCGATGTTGTCTAAACTGTTCTTGTTATATTAGCAATGTCTGGACTTTTTCTGGACAGGCCTTTCATGCGTTCTTTTGGCACAAGTTCATACACCATGCAGTCGTGAAAATTTACCGTCCATAAAAGCCAAAATTTATGTTTTGTTTTCAGTCATGGATGACTCTTCTCCCCACCCCAAGTTTTAGGCTTATTTCTGGCTTCATTGGCCTATCTTGATAATGTTTTCTAATGCTACTTTCATGGACAAGACAACTTTTTCATATGCCCCATTTCATGCCGCGTTCAGTTCACACTCCTTTCTCCCCGTGGGACTGAGGTCTCACATCCCATTACTCATGAACTTTAAATCCCAGTTACCATTTTTCGACTTTACAATGGTGTGAAAATAATATACATAAGTACATCAAATATTCAACACTTTACTATAAAATAGGCTTTGTGGTCGATGATTTTGCCCAACTGTAAGCTAATGTAAGGGATTGGAGCATATTCAAGGTGGGCTAGGTAGATAGGTTAAGTGTATTAAATATATAGTCATTCCTCAGAATGCGTCGGCTCCAGAACTTGTCAAACCCTGCACTCATCGTGTTTTGATGAGGAAAAAAATGTTTCAACAGTTGCAGGACCTTGTTTTCTGATTTTCTGTATATTTGAAGATGTTTTTCAGTTGCCTTTCAAATGGAATAACTTAACTAGGTATAGAATTTTTTGGCTACACCTAGGACACATCTAACTATATTTGGGATTTAGGGATGAGATAATAATCATAATTATAGTAGACATTCATTAAGTACTTGCTATGTGCTGGACTATTCTAACCTCTTACAAGAGTCATTTAATCCTTTGATGCAACCCTAGGTACTATTATTATCTTTATTTTACTCAGCAAAAGGGAAGAAAAAGATCACCCAGCTAATAAATAGTGGGGTTGAAATTTGAACTTAAGCAATATTGTTTCATACTCTTAATTTCCTATACTACCTCTCTGGTTAATTAGGCTACAATTTCTAGCTGTGTGACTTTAGGCATATTACTCAATTTCCTGGTGCCTCAGTTAACTCTCTATAAAGTGGGACTATAATCCTTTCCAACGTTGCTGTTATAATTAAATAAGTTAATGTATGCAAATAGTTGGTAACAGTGCCTAACACATACTGAGTGCTTAATAATTGTCTGTTAGTGTATTAATGTTACTATCTTGTGGATAGTAAGCTGCAGATTTGAGCTTTGCAAAAACAGTCTGACTTTAGTAACTGCTCTTAACATACAGTATCAGCAATTAAAATGGCACTTCAATTAAGTAGGAAAAAGGGATTATTTGAAAAATAGTGTTGGGACATATTTGAGAAACAATTAATGCTTGTTGAATAAATGAAAGTTTTGTAAACTATATATACATTCATTTAACAAATATTAACAAATAGATGTTATATACTCTCTAAGTCTGTATAGACAGATTGAAAGGAAACATGAATATAAAAATAATCACATGGTAATGAGATTATAAATGATTTTCTCTTTTGAATTTCCTTAATATGCTACAAAATTCCTCTCATAATACAATTTATTAAATTAAAAAAAATTTAACCAGATAATTGCTACATACAGAGTTTGAGAACTACAGAGAGATGGTTGGAGGCCCAGAGCTCAGGATGAGATTTTGAGGTCATGAGAAGATAATGAAAATACCAACATAGTGTGTAGAGTAGAATACACCATGCAAAGAATTGGCAAAGGAAAAGGGATTGGCAAAGGGAACTGAAAAAGGGAATTTTGGAAAGACAGATAAAGAGTCATGAGAGTCCTTCCCTAAAAAACAAAGCAGGAGGTCAGGTGGGGAGAGAAATTGTGAGTGGAAAGTTATATAGAATGTTAAGAAAGAATCCACAGTATTTAGGAATAAAGAAATCTTTGATGATGTTAAGCTACTTTATAAGGATAGTTAACATTGGCCACTTTATAAACCAAATTACAGTAGGCTGAGAGGTAATGAAAGCTGGGTGATTAGAGAATGCAAACGAAGATGACTTTTTCAACAACTTAGATGACAAAGGGAGGGCTGGAGTCAAGGAGAATTTAAAATGAGAGAATTCTCTCTCTCTTGCCCGCGTGTTCTCGCTCGCGTGCGCGCGCGCTCTCTCTCTCCTCAATTTGATGCAGGAGTTTTTGGAATGGGAAAATTTGAGGTGAAAGTAAGACATCACTGAAAAGGGAGAGATTAAAGATTTTAAAAGAGCAAGGGGGAAATTCGTAGGGAATATTTGAAAGCAGACAGCTTACTATCCACAAGTCAAGAACACAGACTGAGAGCCCTGGTAAAGGGGCACTCTTTCTCTGAAACACGGAAGAAGAAGGTACTGTTACAAATCATTTAAGAAGTAGAAATGAAAAAAAAAATCTGTGGCATTCCAGGTGCTGGTATCTCAGGCTTTTTTTTTTCCTCCCCAGTATATGTGTGACCCAGGAATAGAGAATAAGATATCATTGTTTGAAACAATGATTACATCCATGAGGACTATTTATTGGTTTGTTCTTTATAGAGTATGGAAAATCTTGTTTCCTATTTTCTGTTCTCTCCTCTTGTGAGAAACCAGTGTAGTGTCTAGATGAATGATGAAAGAAAAAAAGAGAGAGAGAGAGAGAAAGGAAGAGAAAGGAAGGAAGGAAGAAGAAAGAAAAGGAAGGCAGGAAAGAAGAATGGATTCTGGGTACTTAACATGACCCGAGCCATGACTGTTTTATATTGTACAACTAATGCTTATCAGCAACTTGAAGGGGCAGAAAAGTTGCTGTAATCTAAGGGCATTCTGATGCTGACACCATTAAGAAGATACACAAATCTTGGATAAAAGATTTTTTAATTAAATTTATTGTGGTGACATTAGCTAATATGGTTATATAGGTGTCAAGCGTACATAACTATGATGCATGATCTGAATATTGCATTGCGTTCCCACCACCCAAAGTCAGATAATCTGACACCATATATTTGGCCCCATTTACCCTCTACCACCCCACACCCTCCCTTTTGTGACCTCCATACTATCATCTGTCCGTGTCTCTGAGTTTCAGCTTTATAGCCCACATGTAAGTGAAATCATATTTTTAAGGATTTTAAAGGTGCCCTGAAATTGATTTCTACATTGTGTGCACCTCAGTGAGGCTCCTGAAGGCACAGGTAAAGTAGTGAGCAGGTGTGGAGCATGACTGACACTCAGTTATGCCGAGCAAGAGGCTGGCTGAGACAGCCCTGTCCTTGCTGATGTGTGCCTCTCCTCTATTTCAGTTGCCGTTGCATAAAGGTTCCATTGGTCTTTAGATATTGTAAATAATTCTTACCATTTCATATTTTAGGGCAGCATAATTATTTATGTGCTGGACGAAATGATTGCATCGTTGATAAAATCCGCAGAAAAAACTGCCCAGCGTGCCGTCTTAGAAAGTGCTGTCAAGCTGGCATGGTCCTTGGAGGTAATGCTGCTATTTTCATTAATAATACACTGATATTTACACTATAAAACTAGGGGTCAGAAAAATGCTAATTTTCTCATTTATCTTTGTTCTTGCTTTGCCTTTTCTGTCTTGATTATTGGTGTCCAAATGAAACAACCAGGACTATCCCACAAACTTTATAGATTCCCAGCATGTTAAGGTCTTTTAGGAGAGAAGTACTAAGCCTCCGTTTGTCTCTGTTGCCTGTATGTAAATATTAGGGGGTGTCCACAAACCTTTCCTTCAGTGACATGAGTTGGAGTCTTAGCGCTGCACTCATGGCCTATGTAATCTTGAGTAAGTTACTGACCCATTCTGGACATCAGTCTCCTTATAGGTAAAATGAAAGCACTGGAGTTCCTTCCAGACCAAAAACCGATTCTGTGAATTGGCCCAGCACATCAGTCTCTATCCCTCTCATTCTCCATCAATCTCTCCCCTGTTCTCTTTATGTAACAGTATGTTGAGCCCTTACACTTACTGGGTACTATTTTAAGTTCTGGAGTATAATACCAAAAAAAAGAGACCAAATCCCTGCCCTTGTGGAGCCTACATTCTGGGGTGGGGTGGGGGGAGGGGATGAACAATAAATATACACTTGAAAAGATAGTAAGTGCTGTCGAAAATGGTAAGCAGGGTGAATTAATAGGGAATATCAGGGAAGGGAGTCACTCCTGAACATTTTTTTTTCTGATTACTATAGTATTCATTTCATTTAGCTGTTTCCTAAGCAATAATATTTTTGAAATCCTGAGTTTGATGTGGTAGTTATGATTTTGCTAAAATACATTTTTAAAATTTATAACTATTTAAATATATATTCATTATATCACCTAAAAACAGCTAATGTACAATAAATGGCTTGTGTTACCTTCTGGGAAAGGCATGCATCAGACCAATATTTTTTGAGTGCCTACAGTGTTAGCTCTTGCTTAGTTCACCGTCTCTGCTGCCCTTGAGTATGGTGCTGTCTAATCCCTAATAAAATAATTTTCTAACAGAAGAGTAAGTGACAAGAGAGGTACCATACATTGCTAGCAAATAGAGAAAAGGAAAAAATTATTTCTGTCTGAGGGAGTTGGCAAAAGCTTCAAAAACAAGGCTCTCAAAGAATGAATAGAAACTTTGTAAATGGAAATGGAGAAAGATATTTACAGTGAAAATCCTGAGTATCTTAAAAACAAACCAACAAACAAACTAGGCATTCCAGTGATGATTTTTCAGTTATAAAATGGAATCAGCAAGAAATGAAGCGTAAAAGTTACCTTGGGCCAGCTGGGATCTGGAGTTTGAACTCTACTCTGTAGGCCCAATGGAACCAGTGTTCTTCCTAAGAAACTGTTCATGGACTATCTGTGGAATAAAGCCCAAATTTCTCAATGGGGGACATGGGGCCCTTCATCACTTAGCAGTAGCTCTCTCTTTTTCTAAGCTCTTCTCCCGCCAGCGCTTTGGGAACTTTACACTCCTTTCACCTGTCCTTGCATGCGTTTTACTTTTGCCTGCACCATCCTTCCTCCACCCCTTATAAACTCTTATTTATCCTTCATTTTAAGTTCTAGTGCAATTTTTGTGTGTGTGTGTAACCTTCCCATCCCTCCAGTCACACCAGGAGCAGGGAGTTTTTTGTGGGTACAGTTTAATGCAGTGCTTTTCATATTTGGGAAGCTGAAAGCCCTTGAGCAGCCTGGATTGGACCTTGTCCTGACTGCACTGAACTTCAGCATTCCTACTCTTAAAATGGAAGATTGACCAATTTGATTAGAGGGGAAGTGATGAGACTCAGCTCCCCTACCCTATCCCAGCCCATATGAGGCACTGGGAATCCATATTCTGTCTCTTTCTTTCTCTTTCTCTTCTTTCTTCCTTTCTCCCCTCCTTCCTTCCTTCTCTCTCTCCTTCCCCCCCGCCCACATTGTTTCTTGTACACCTTCATTGTAGAACTTACCTCACTGTTTTGTAGCTGCTTATTTATGAGCTGCTTATTCAATTCAAGGATTTTCTCCTTATCCAAGGTTGAGTTGTTTGAAAGAAGGAATTTCATGTTAATGTTTTTTTATCACCGAAGAACTTGTTTAAGTGTTCAATACATATTTGTAACTATCATTTTTGAAGTCATTTGAAGAATAGGTCTCTAGGCATTCTCTTTTTTTTTTAACTTTTTTATTGAGGCACAACAAGGCATAGTAACTTGCCTGAACTTGAGGCAGTCAGTTTAGTAAACTGAATGTGAATACAGTTAAGGATATATACTCGCAGTTTGACTAGTGAGACTACGTCACAATTTATCAAGTGCTAAATTAGTGCTAATTGTCATTCAGCTTGAAATTTTTCACCTTGGGGAGGAAAACAAAAATAAGGACCTCTTTTTTCCCTCTAGGGATGAAAATATTTCGCTAAACCAAAAACACAAGGTCTAGGACTACTTGTCCTTTAATCCCACTTATTAGAACAGCATCCTTTTGTTGTCAGTTCTGTACTGACTTTCAATCTTGATAAAGAAGGTAGCCTGAAAATGTAAAATGTTTCCAACTACTTCCATAAATGGCTGCCCTGTGCAAATGTAACCATATCTGGTCTCCTTGGAAGAGCAGAAGAATTGCATGATTGGTAGCAGTTTCATGGTCTGGAACACTGTTATTGGTATAGGCAGGCACGAAGACCTCTTCATTCTACATGAGGTTGACAAACAGTGGCACATTCACTGCCCGCTTTAGCACGTGGAAAAGGAAAACGTAAGTGCCATTCGTTGCACACGTAAATCTACCAAGCTGAAAATCAAGTTTCTCCCAGGTCGTTCAGAAGAAGATCGAACACAACAGGTTGGTCTAAAGTTCCAAGGGTGAGATTAGAGGTTGTGGGTGTTGAGATGGCAGCTCGCATCTGTGGAGGCAGGGGAGAGACATGTACTGGCAGTATGGCGGTTGCTGGACCTGTCACCGGCACGTCCACAGGGGTCATGCTGTGGGAATCTCCTGGTCCTGAGTCACCACTGTGAAAGGTACCATTGTCACTTTCTGGGCTGCTCACTTGGGAAGAATCACTCCGCCCTGCTCTTGAATTTGCCCACGGACTACTAGGTGTCCCTCTTCACTTGTAACACTGCTGGAATTATTTTTTAGAGAATTAGGTGTTCCAGGACACTCTAGTTTGGAATTGTACCTGGCTATAATTTCCATTGGAAACTGAAGGAGGTCATCTGTAAGTATCAAAACCTTTATAACCATCAGGGGACCAATATGTATTGCTTAGTAATCTACCACAAGCACATCCTCTAAGAGATCCCTGGATACTGACAAATGGTTGAGAGGGTCTGGGAAATACATTTGTCTGTGCTGGGTAAAAGGCAAGGCTACCATTGCTTACTTAAATAGTTCCATGAGGATAACTTGTACTCCCTTGAGAAAGAGTAGTTTGTTCTATGTGTAGAGCTGGCCACTGGCATTGGAGTGGTGTTTGTGTACTTTGTTCTAGTAAAACTTTGATTGTAGCCAGGTAAATAGAAGGATTCTTCTATTTCTTGTTGTTTCCACTGAGGCAAAGGTGCATTAACGTTAAATATTGTCTGCATGGCTTGAAAGAACATTGTGTTAATAGTCACTGCTGCTTGCTGGAGGTGACTGGAAGCCCTGTTTAGGGCCCTTTGACATGGGAGGATTTGGAGAAGCCAGTGAAGATGGTTGCTTGCTTGGGGGAGCTGCTCGCTCAAGAGTCTCTGAAGTCATAAACTCTGTTTCAAATCCTGGAGAAGCCTGATTGGTAGTAACCAAACAAGCATTTGAGCTACAAGTACCTAGAGAAAAGAAATAGCCTGTAATGAATGCCTCTTGAAGAAAAATCACATTGACTGGATACATTTTGTTCTTTAGATGATAGGCTACCTGGAGTAGCTGAAGGTGGCTGTGGCGATGGATTTGCATTTGAACGTTTATCAAAATCCAGAATAGATTATAGCATAAAGTTACAAGTTTCTTGAATTTGGGTCATCAAATCCTGCGGTTTTCTTTCCTCAATACTGGATCCTTTGAAAGGGTAGAGGAAGAACCTACAGGCTGATGCATAGGCTTAGGCACATCTTTGGGTTTGATATGAGGCTTCCTGCAGCTAACCCCCAGGACTTTGGAGAAATTTGGGATTGTGGTGTTAAAGGGTGTTTTTGATTATCGACATTGTTTTCCCAGGATTTCGGAGTCTCTGGCTGTCTTGAATCCTCCTTCTCACACATGGGATTGGACCATGACTTGCTGATTTCCAGTTCACTCTGCAGAGAAGGTGTCCAACGCTTTGCAGATTACTTCTTTGGATCCTGTTCTTTCTGCAGCTGAACTGGCCAAGGCATTGACATCTCCTGCTTCTTCTGTTCTTGAACATATCCTGCTTTGCATTTAGGGGTTTCTTGCTTCCACTAACTAGGAGTTAGCTTCTGTTTGGAGATGTCCTGCTTCTTCTGCTCTTACTACAGTATGGACCTGAGTTTTGCAATCTCTTGTTTCCTCTGTTCTAAGGAAACTGCAGGCTTTGCTAGTTCCCCATGTTTGAAGAATTCCTGTTTCTTCTCCTCACCATCTGGTTCAGTAAGCATAACCCAACATTTTGGGGTATTTGGTTTTTTAGAATAATCTGCTTTTCCAGATTGCTCTTTATTTATCCTGTTTTCTTCATAATCTACTTCTGTTAATAGCATGTGTTAAGAAACTCTTGTGATTGTATCTCTGGTAGTGCAAGTTCCATAATAGATGCTGACTCTTTGACAGATTTTCCTTCAATAATTCTTTTCTTCTATTATTTTATTGGTATTGCTTCCTTCAGTGATACTTGTTTTTCCTGAGCATTTTTTTTTTTTTTTGCAACTGGAGTATTTTCAAAGTAGCCCAATGTCAACAATTTAGACAGATCTTTCATATGTTTGTATTTTGGTCCTACCACTGCTTTCTCACTACCTTCCAAAAGGTCCTAAAAGTACAAGGGTGACTGCTCTA